TTTTTTTTTTTTTTTTTTTTTTACAGGAAAACAGCTTCTGCATAAAGAATGCTCAAAGGGCCCAGCAGTGGGGAAGGCAGTTAAGAGACTGGGCCCAGGTGGTCAGAGAAGAACTGGATTTGGAACCTGGTTCTGGGACCTTGGAGCTGTGTGAGCTCGGGAAGATCACTTCACCTCTTGAAGCCTCAGTTTCCCCACCTAGTAAATGAAATAATAATACCTAATTTGCAAAGTTGTTATCACCATGAATGAGTACCTGTGACACCTGCAATGCAGAGTCTGTAAGGGAGTGTGTCCTTTCGCTAAGAAGTGTCTAGTTTCCCGTTCATAGATGTTGGGTTGAGCATGTTGGTAACATTGTCAAGAACCATCTGCAGTTGGGACACACAAAAGCCCTCTCCCCAACTGCACTTCCAAGGTTGAATCACAGCCTATTTTGTTTCTGTATGTCCTCAGGTGGTTTATTAGCAGCTCACATGGCCTTCCAGAAAGGTTCCAGGCATTCGGGCTAAGTATACCTGTTTTCTTTGCTATGTGCTATGCACCACTGTGCTGGGATGATAAACTCACAGGAAGATGGTAGCTGGAATGCTAATGTGGGTTGAGGTCCCAATGAGTATTTTTTTAAAAAATTCTCATTTTGAACCAGGTTGCTAATTGGTTTGAATAATCTCACATTCCTTCCGCACATAAGAAGCATCAGCGCATGTGGAGTTTGGGGCAAGAGTTCCAGTATTTTCCATGCTCCTCTGCAAGTTCTTGGGTTTACAAGGCAGTTAAATTGTGACTATCTGAACTAAATCTTTCCAAGAGAATTTGCTTGGCTCATCCCCTCTTGGACAGTTCAGAAATTTCACAAATGACCATGGCCAGCAGGCAATGTGGGTAAAACTGGGAAGGCCCTTGAGTTGTGTGTGAGAAAGCAGCCATTCTTGGCCCATGAAGACAACTGGATTTGTGTTCCCAAGTATAAGTTGTGGTTGCATGAATAGTTTTTGTCCAGATTCAGGAAATGAATGAAAGTTCTCCATGGCGGCTCATGAAGCTGAGTTTAATACAATGATTAGGTACTCCCTGCTTCTCCTGATGGGCCCCAGGAGGGGAAAGCACTCAGTTCTGTGCCCCCCAAGAAAGAGAGGACCATGTTCTATTGGGGACGTGCTAGAAAGGGGGCTGCTGGTGGTGAAGGCTCATGTAGGGCAAGTTGGTGGAGACTGGAGAGGTGACCAGAAGGGAGAGAAGAGAGTTCTCCAGAAACTGAGGATCTGTTCTTCAGAGAGTGGAGGGTGGTGATGAGATACAGTTTCCCCAACCTTGAGGAGGGTGGGAGGGGCTTTAACAGTACAGGACCCTGCATGGAAGAGGTGAGGGAGACACTTTCTCAATACCAAGGGTTTTTCCCTTGTGACCTCATCCCTCCCAGTTCCCAGCCACCGACAACTGCCTCCCTCCCGCCTTTCATCTGATGACAGGGCAGGAGGTGACAGGATTCTGACTGAGCAGACAGGGGACCAGGGAAGGAGCAGGCTTAGGGCTCCAGCCCAAAGGTCCCAAGGCATAAGGATTGTGCTTTGATTTCCAGCAGGGATCCCATCAGAATATTCACATTTCCTTCACATCCCGGGCAGCAGAAACTTACACTGCCCACAGCCTCATGCCCCCAGCTCTCTCCACGCCCTCACACACGCCCACAGATCACAGGGGTGTGATTCTCCTCCCCAAGGACCCTTCTTCCCTAGCCTGAACTAACCAGCAGTTCTTCCTAGGTCTCTTTCCAGTTTCCCCCCCCGCCCCGCCCCCTCCCCGACTCTGCTCTGACTCTGCTCTAGCCAGAACTTTCAGGATTCCTAGGACCTTTAGCATTTACATATTCTAACATTGCCTGAGGTACGCATCTTCTCTATCCTACTGGTTGGTAAGCTCCTTAAGCATGAGGACCCTGTCTCAGCCAGCCTGTGTTGCCTTGTCTCCTGTAGGACAAACAGTCATTGCTTAGTGGGATTTGTAGGGCTCCCGAAGATGCGTTCAGCTACCCAGCTACTACAGGGGATTCCAAAAGTAGAACAAACTTTTTCTCGTGCTAAACATCCAAGATGACTTTAGATAACAGGTTATTTTGTCTTCTTGTTTACAAAAAAAAAATCTTTCTTCAAAGCATCAGATCTTTTAAATGATTTTCAAAAATTTCCACCTTGTCTCTGAGTTTTCAGCAAACAAAAGTCTTAAAGCTGAAAACCTGGAAATTGCTTTAGTAGGTCTGGCAGTGAAGCTGGTAGTGTGGGCAGGAGCCTCTGACTCTGGGCAATTTGAACCTCAGTATTTACAACTGTGAAATGGGAATATTCCTACCTTGCTGAATTATTGCCAAGTTTAGCAATAATATACATAAATGGCCTCACTCAGTGTCTGGTGTTTATTAGTTGCTCTAAATGATAGTTGTAGCTTCTGCCATAAGCAGTTTACTATTACTACTACTATTACTACGACTAACTGGGAATCTGAAGTCATTCCCATGAGAGAACTGGACTGGACCAGAAACTTGTTATGTAGGTTTCATCGGTTGAGAATAATCTATTCAGCAGCTTTCACTGCTGTGCACTTCTTGCTACTCCCTCCCTCAATCTTCTATAAAATCCAAAAGGCAAACAGCAACTCCCTTTCTATTATAATCTGTTCAACAAATACCCATGTGCCTTTGCTATGTAATAATTCACAAAGATGAGTAAGACATTTTGGTCATGACCTTAAAGATTGTAATCCAATTTAGCTGTACCGTTGACTTCTTCCTTGTGATACCTTTAGAGTCTATGAAAAGCAAATTCTTAGCAAAATATTCTTTTTTCACCACCTGAAACTGCAGTCACAAATGAGGCAACCTAAGCTGCATAGCTTGTATGGGCCCTGATTGCGGTTCCTAATCCCCTCACCCATAACCAAATCGGACCAAACTTCAGAACTCTGGGGCTTTTCCAGGATGGTCCTCCCTGTGGCATGGGACATACATTAACCAGCAGAAAGACACAAGTTATATTTATACATTTACACTCTTCAGGGAGGAGGACAGACCCCTTGCTTTCCAGAGAAGGGAGAGAATTGTGCTCAGGAGTCTCATTACCGTGACTCAACACCCTGAAGTCTGCTAGTGAATTTGGGGGAGACTTTGGTTTGCTTTACACCATACCCTCTTGTAGTATCTGAGCAAGGTGATGGCTCCAGTAGAAAAGAAACCCAATGGTTATTTAGATCAAACGTGTCTGCCCTAGTTCTCTTGATGATGCTGGGACACTGTCATTGTTGACTGGGTAGTTCTTAGTTTGACCAGGAAAGAGGGGGAAAAAGGTAGTCATCTCATATTTATACAAGGCCCTGCTGACTGAGAACCAAGCCCACATAACGGTCCATGTTCCTTCCATGTGCCTGATCATCCGTCAGGTCTTGACGTCACTTGCCATACACAGACACGGTTCTTGAGAGACAATGTCGAAAAGAAAGAGAGAAAATTACAATTCCTAAACCTTGACATCCCCCCTCCCCACCGTTGACCAGGAGGTGCCAAGATTCTAAGAGCTGTCTTCTTTAAAAACAGTATTGCTTCCTTTAGACCGTGGGAAGGGTTCGTGGTGCTGCCTTGGTGTAACAGGCAGCTTTCCGAACAGTCACAAATAACAGGCCGCGCCTATTCGCCGCTTTGGGTGTGCTGGAAACGTGCGTCGTCTCACATACCCAGAGGAGATCTTAATTAAAGCTTAATTATGTGCCATAAATATGTTTTATTTTGGAGCCCAGGAGGTGGGATTTTTGATTTGGGGAGATGTGGGGCCTAATAAGTAGGCAGGAAAGGGAATGTAAACAGTGACTGAGCCCTTTAATTTGTCCCCTCTCAGCGCGGTTCTCAAGGGGTTTCCAGTTCCAGCCTGAGCCTCGGGAAGCACCTGCCCCCTGCCCACCGCGCCACTCTCGCAGGGACCTGCACGTCGTCGCCTCGCGCCCGGTCACGTGGCTTCCGGGGAACGCGGAAGGGCCCCACGCGGGAGTGAAGAAATCCAAGGAGTCTCGCGAGATGACGGGATTTTATTGGTCGCTCACTCCTGGGGCGCTGTGAGGGAGGAGGTCGGGAGAAGGGTCAGCGGGTGTCTGGTCTTCCTGCTCCCCTGCACACCTCACCGCCCTGGGTTGGTCGTGTGACCTCGCCTCCGGCCCCCCTGCCCTCCTCCCGTCCACCTGTCTTCTGGAAGCCTCGCGTCTCCCTCTCCCTGCCGCTGCTGTGCTGTGTGCCTGGTCTAGGGCGACTTACCACACCAGGTAAATTTTACTGGGCCTCCTGGGGCCGGGCAGGCACAACACCGGGGTCTCCACCGGGGTGGGGCTGGAGACGGGGAAGTAGCACAGGGTGGCGGGGGACTCGGGCACGGGCCCCGGGGATGAGGAAGCAGGGCTCATGAAAGAGGGAATGGGCCCCGGAGGCAGATGGGGGGAGGGGGCCTGGGCCGCGGGGGTGGCAGGTGGCACGAGTGGCAGGAGGAGGCAGCAGTAATTGGAACTGGGCTGCCCAACGGGGGAGAAAGCAAAGACGGAGCAGTAAGGGGAATATTCAACACAGAACAGGGGGTGCTCGCTGCTGTCACCTGCACAAAAGAAAAAGAGCAGTCAGGAAGCAGCACTCACGGTGGGAAAGGACATTAAAAAAAAAGCCTGTGAATGAATCAGAACTCAAAAAGTGTTCTTCGGGCGGGCGTGTCCAGGTGTCCTAGCGGTAGCAGCCTTGGATCTCAGAGTCACTGAAGAGTTAACTGAGGGACTTGACCTCATCATCACACCCTGTTCCAGCCAATAGTCTCTGGCATCTCTGCCAGACGCAAGAAAGTTCTTTCCCCACCATGTTACTGCGTGGAAGCGCTGGGTCCCTTCTCCTCTCCCACAGCCAGTCTAATTAGCTGTGCCGGCAGCAACATACGGTGGCTGGCAGGGTCTCACCTAGATGAGGCTCTCCCCCCACCAGTCCTCCAGCTGTCCACAGGAGGAGGTGGCGGTCATGCCCTAATCTGGCCTTTCTGCTGCAGAGAGGAGGCCTGGGAAAAGAGAAGGAAGCAGAGAGATCCTGGTGGGATCGTGGAAAGGGAGAGGGACCAAGGAGGAAAGAAGCAGGTGGGCGAGGGAGGCGTCCAAGTGAAGTTAATGATTTGCTCGCTAACCTCACACTTAATCTGCCAGCCTTGCTGGAGGCTGAGTGTGGGCACCTGATGGAGTCACGATCCAGAGGGACCCCCTCGTGTGTGACAGGTTTCTCAGCTCTGCCACGAACAAGCTGGGTCACCTTGGATCAACTGCTTACCTTCTCGAAACCTGTTTCCTCATCTGCAAAATGAGACAGGTGTTTTCTCTAGCCTTGTTCCTCTAAGGGTGGTCCTTCGACCACCAGCATGGATGTCTCCTGCCAGCTCAGCTCCTTAGACATGCAGAATCTCGGCCCACCCAAACCTATCTAATCAGA